TGACAGTTTAGTGTGAGGACGTGTCTTTCTTAATGATGGAATACTATAGATATATATGTGAAATTACATTCATGCAAGGATTATTTATTAATATTATCAATATAAAGTGTGTTCAATAAAGTACTGTAAGTTTAACCAGGATTCAGTATTCTTATTTGCGTGCCCGGATTATAAGTGGAAGAATGAAGAAGCCTTAGTCGGCATCCTGAAATATCAACATAACATAAGTAACCATACTACTGACATAACCCACAGCATAAGAAATAAGCTCCCACGCCATGTCAGAGTAGGTGTGTTACAGGTTTGTAGGCCAATCGACTGGGGAAAGAAAGGGAAGGACATATTATTTTAGTTGGATGCTACATCCTACTCGACACTCTCTATTTCGAAGCATCCAATAGATCTATTTTGTAACGAGGTATGCGCAGTTGTGACTTGTATTTTCTTAAAATATCTTTAAATATCGTTGCGTGTACTAAAATGTCTCTAGAGTCGCATGCTTAGTCGACAGAACTATCAGTGGGTTTTACATCTTGTTATAAACACTTAGATGTTGGGGACATTCAAGTTGACATTTCTGTTAAACAAGTAAAGGCAATCCATAGGCAATGCGGGAAAAAAAAAGGGGGGGGGGTGGATTTTTGAGATTTTCTTTATGGACAGGTATGACCCAAAAAGGGGAGCGGAAAGGGGGGGGGGATTTCAACAAAAATTCTAAATAATTTTGCAAAAATTATGTAAAAATTGTACTAAAGTTGTGGAAAAACATAAATGGCCCATTTATATCTCTAAAAAACTCATCTATCATTTATATAACATATTAGTTCCATCTATCACCTATATACTCTATTAATTGCATCTATCACCTATATAATCAATTAAATGTTCGATTTCTCAAGTATTTTCGAAGGAAATAAAAACATTCGAGCAACGTTTCTCAGTTACCACCCTTCTCCTGCTTTGTGTTTTGGCAAGTGAACTCGCTGGACGCCTTTGTATCTTTTCGTGCGTGTGACGTAATATCTTTGTTCGGCTACCCCAATGGTTCGAAAATCTTTTAGTCTCGGAACCCTTGCCACACATAGTTTTTTCCTAGGCGCTCTTTGATTAATTCTAACAACTCCAATTCGAAAAAGTGAATACATGTGTTTTAAGATTAAAGAGCTGACTAAAAATTAATAAAAACCGTATGTAAGTCACACTACGCCATCTTGTAACAATTCCGTAGAGATTCTGAAAACAGTTATTACACAAGTGAGTTCATGCTTTCCTCCTACTCCGATAGATATCATGTCATGTCATGCCCTGTAACATTGGGCTGAAGGTGGACATTAAATTAAGATCCATTTTGTGTAGTAATTCACGGCTCCCGAGGAAGATGTGGCGCACATTATGGGAACCACTGGGCTACTCCAACAGACAGTTTTTATTAACACATTTATTAACAGAGGTAACTGTCACGTGAATAGTATCTTTATTATTTATCTATTTTACAATAGAATTTTTTTTATTTTTTGGAAAGTGTGGGAGGAGCGTATTTTCATTGAAAGTACGCAGAGTAGTGGGGGGTGGGGGGTGTCCAAAATACGGAGCTACAACTTAGACATTTTTTAAATATACTGATGTTAACTAAAGTGAAGAAATAAAGATTACGAAAGGGACACTTGACGTGCTGTCATATAAAGGTATTGATGGACCTTTCTTCATAACAGCCGACATCTCTAACTCTCTCAAATCTTATGATGTAGTTTTATTCCCTGTTACATCCGCGAGATGGAATTTTTACGTAATTAATATAACGCTCTATGGGAGTCCAGAATTGAACAATGAAACAGTGACTGAATATTTAGCACGTTTTCATTGGTTACAATTTGAATCACATTGAGTCTATAAATACACTCTCCACACCTGCAGGAAATCCTCACACTATACACACTATAAATAGCACACAGTCGGTTAGTCAATGTTGCAGGTGATGAAAATGATAATGTGTTACTTGTATCCCTTCAGGAAGAAACGTTCCAGTTATTGATTCCAGACAACTCGTCTGTCTAGCTGGCCTGAGTGCTGACGCGTAGCTGTGTAGTGTGTCAGCACGGCTGAGTTCAAGTAGACGAGGACCTGCTTCTGAGATCCTACTTTATCCACTATCGATTTTATCGGATACGACAATCCAATGATTTTTAATTTTTTATCTATTTGAAGCAGGAGATCATTTAACTACGGAATTTTGACTTATCTGAGGAGACTGGTAGAAGTAGGCCAACCATGATATTTAAGTCTGCAAAGATGACATATTGTGAACCTAGATAGCAGTTGTTAACTCCATCATTGTTACTTAGTGCACATATTGTGAACATATTGTGAACATATTGTGAACATATTGTGAGCATATTGTGAACCTTTATAGTTGTTTACTGGTCCACTGATACGTTATGAACACATTTCAGCTTGGTTATATTGTTTAATTCAATAACATAATAAAATCAGTTTCATATGACATTGTAGTGTAGCGTTTGTTGTATCTTTAAATATAAGACAGTTTCATATGACATTGTAGTGTAGCCTATGTTGTTGCTAAACATTAGACTGTGTCATATGTAATATAGCCTATGTAGTAGCTAGAAATTGGATTGCGTCATATGTAGTACAGCCAATGTTGTCGCTAGACATTAGACTGTGTCATATGTAGTACACCCTATGCTGTTGCTAGACATTAGACTGTGTCATATGTAGTACACCCTATGTTGTTGCTAGACATTAGACTGTGTCATATGTAGTATAGCCTATGTTGTTGCTAGACATTAGACTGTGTCATATGTAGTACACCCTATGTTGTTGCTAGACATTAGACTGTGTCATACAAGTACACCGTATGTTGTTGCTAGACATTAGACTGTGTCATATGTAGTATATCCTATGTTGTTGCTAGACATTAGACAGTGTCATATGTAGTATATAGCCTATGTTGTTGCTAGACATTAGACTGTGTCATATGTAGTATATAGCCTATGTTGTTGCTAGACATTAGACTGTGTCATATGTATTGTAGTACACACTATGTTGTTGCTAGACATTAGGCTGTGTCATATGTAGTACACCCTATGTTGTTGCTAGACATTAGAATGTGTCATATGTAGTACACCCTATGTTGTTGCTAGACATTAGACTGTGTCATATGTAGTATAGCCTATGTTGTTGCTAGACATTAGACTGTGTCCTATGTAGTATAGCCTTTGTTGTTGCTAGACATTAGACTGTGTCATATGTAGTATAGCCTATGTTGTTGCTAGACATTAGAACTGTTCTGATCCATGAAGCTATTGAGTGTTGTGTCAACATTAATTCCACTTGAAATGTGAAGTATAAACATAGAGTATGTGTGTAGTGTGTTGTAGAAATATAGAAATTCTGTGTGTAGTGTGCTGTTGAAATAAGGAATCTGGGCCGAGCGTGTTGTATAAATTTTAAATGTTGGTGTAGTGTCCCAGTGTGTCCTATGTATTACGCCATCTGATGATTTGAGAACCACAGCCTAGATACTTCAATAGGAGTCAAGCATGACATGAATATCGGCCCTAGGCCCTGGAACGAAAGGGCATGAGTTGCCGGGTCGCGTAGCAAGGCCTAGACCCTGGCTCAAGCCTAGAGGAAGCAAACCTCCCGGCGCCGCAGCATAAGGTGAGGCTGCCATCCCAAGGTAGGCTACATTATGCAGTAGCCATATTCTGCATGGCTGCCATCCCAAGGTAGGCTACATTATGCAGTAGCTATATTCTGCATGGCTGCCGTCCCCGCAGTAGTGATAGCAGCGCCTTGTAATGAATTAAACAAAAAAATGTCAAGTTCCCGTACATCAAGGGACGCAAAATCGTGAAAATTCGTTAAATTTTCGTCAAATTTCTTTTTAAACCCTCTATCCTATATAGTAAAACAAAATAATGCGTTCAAGAAGAAATCTTAAGCAAAATGTTAAAGTAAAAACTGAAGAAAAAAAAAAGAAAAAAAGAAAAGATTCGACCAAATTTCCGTTCGATCAAATTACCGTCGATCAATTTACCTTCGACGAAATTTCTTTCGATCAATTTTCCGGATACGTGCAAATTGTACCCCCCCAAAAAGCGCCCTAGTCTCATTCCTTACCATACTTGTCAACGATGTTCGACGACTCTTCTTCTGAGAGCAGGACACATGAAATAATGACAAGAAACAGAGAACGGTAACAAAAAAATTTAAAAATTAGGGATCTCGTTTGTTGTTGCTGGGAGTAGCACCTGACCTCCCCCCCCCCCTATGTAAATAATATGATCTCATCATTCTCATCAATCTTGCTTTGATTATGACGTTTACATTTTAATGTGGCTAATGAAATAAATGTCTTGGAACCACTGTTACGACACACTTCCTAGCATAAGATTCGGCATTAGACTTTATGACCTAGGGGACTTTGCATAATGAACTCTTTTCGATGACGTTGCGGTTTGCACTTGGTAATCTGATCTGTCATGGGTTTATCTGATAACCAATAGGATTGTCAGCTTTAGGTAACGTCACACGTGCTCCCTATACGTTCTTTGATGTTTCAGGTCACGTGACATGTGCTACTAATTCGTTACCTGGTGTTGTAGTCAGAATGACATTAATTTTGATCGAACTTGTTAAAACATGTAACACAATGAGAACATGCAGTTTAAAAACATGTCTTTATGACTAAATCAGCGACACGTCTACGTCTGTTACTTTAAACTTTATTTTCGAACAAAAAGAGATGGTGAACAACAAATCAATAAAAATATGACAACAATTTAATTTATTTCCTAAATCATGTATAGGCCTATAATAAGTTTACATCTTTAATGTTTAATCTAAAAATAGTAACATTATTAAATAAACTTTTCGCAAAATTTGAGACACGTATTAGAATTTAGATCTAATTTTATCTCCAAAAAAATATTAAACTTAAAAACAACAAAACAACAAAAACCAAACAAAACAAAGTAGTGAATTCTGAAGAAACAGTTTTGAAAACTTGAAAAATTTAATGACACTTTGTAGAGTGACCGTTCTTTAAACTTAATTATTAGTTAGGGAAAAAGAACACACATTTTCATTCTGAAATGTAATACATTTTTTTTTTATTATTTGCTTATGTATTTAGGAATTCCGGAAATGACATTTCAAGGGTGTGGGCACACTGTGATTGATTCTATATCTCTCTCAAAATACAACGGTCTTGGGAAGAGGGAACTGGTATTTAAATCTCCAATCGGCAGTCAATTGTCTCGGCTGTTTACCTGGTTTAATTAAATCATCTACATGCATTTATAAGACGGATGAAAGTTTCAGTTTAAGTCATGAAAATTTAACCAACCCAAAACTGACTTTTTATTCATTTTTTTTTCTTCTTAAAAAGAAAGGTTAAAAATGAGTGAGCTAATGTGATAAACTGAAGCCATCGTTGTTAAATTATGGTAACATTAGAGATGAGAAAGAGAGAGAGAGAGAGAGAACGTGATTATCAACTTGTTCTAGATTGAATGACCGTAGAGACAACACATTGATCACCTAGATCTAGTTAAATAGCCCCTGAAACTAACATTTTCCAATGTCCTTAGCACATGAGTTTAAATTGTAAGTTGCAGTCCATCAGTAATACAGTAATACGTCTAGCATTATTCCCTTGATCTCCTGGCTCTGATGATGAGACACACGAGTGACAGCATGTACACACCGAATGTGATGGCGCCCAGGATGCCAGTGTCTTCACCGACGTTGTCCTGGGGGATGAGAAGTGGTCGTGTTTAAGGTGAGAATTGGTCGGTGTATAGGATGAGAAGTGGTCGGTGTTTAGGATGAGAAGTGGTCGGTGTTTAAGGTCAGAAGTGTTCGGTGTTTAGGGTGAAAAGTGGGTAGTTTAAGGTGAGAAGTGGTCGGTGTTTAAGGTGAGAAGTGGTCGGTGTTTAAGGTGAGAAGTGGTTGATGTTTAGGATGAGAAGTGGTCGGTGTTTAGGATGAGAAGTGGTCGGTGTTTAAGGTGAGAAGTGGTCGGTGTTTAGGATGAGAATTGGTCGGTGTTTAAGGTGAGAAGTGGTCGGTGTTTAAGGTGAGAAGTGGGCAGTGTTTAAGGTGAGAAGTGGTCGGTGTTTAAGGTGAGAAGTGGTCGGTGTTTAAGGTGAGAAGTGGTCGGTGTTTAAGGTGAGAAGTGGTCGGTGTTTAGGATGAGAAGTGGTCGGTGTTTAGGATGAGAAGTGTTCTGTGTTTAGGATGAGAAGTGGTCGGTGTTTAAGGTGAGAAGTGGTCGGTGTTTATGATGAGAAGTGGTCGGTTTTTAAGGTGAGAAGTGGTCGGTGTTTAGGTTGCGAAGTGGTCGGTGTTTAGGATGAGAAGTGTTCGGTGTTTAGGATGAGAAGTGGTCGGTGTTTAAGGTGAGAAGTGGTCGGTGTTTATGATGAGAAGTGGTCGGTTTTTAAGGTGAGAAGTGGTCGGTGTTTAGGTTGCGAAGTGGTCGGTGTTTAGGATGAGAAGTGTTCGGTGTTTAGGATGAGAAGTGGTCGGTGTTTAAGGTGAGAAGTGGTCGGTGTTTAAGGTGAGAAGTGGTCGATGTTTAGGGTGAGATGTGGTTGGTGTTTAAGGTGAGAAGTGGTCGGTGTTTAGGATGAGAAGTTGTCGGTGTTTAAGGTGAGAAGTGGTCGGTGTTTAAGGTGAGAAATGGTCGGTGTTTAAGGGGAGAAGTGGTCGGTGTTTAAGGGGAGAAGTGGTCGGTGTTTAGGATGAGAAGTGGTCGGTGTTTAGGATGAGAAGTGTTCTGTGTTTAGGATGAGAAGTGGTCGGTGTTTAAGGTGAGAAGTGGTCGGTGTTTAGGATGAGAAGTGTTCGATGTTTAGGATGAGAAGTGGTCGGTGTTTAAGGTGAGAAGTGGTCGGTGTTTAGGGTGAGAAGTGGTCGGTGTTTAGGGTGAGAAGTGGTCGGTGTTTAGGGTGAAAAGTTATCGGTGTTGAGGGTGTGAAGTCGGTGTTTAACGTGAGAAGTGGTGAGCGTTTGGATCATAAAGAGTCGGTATGTGCGAGAGGAAAAGGTCACCATTTTTGAATGTCAAGTGACCAGTGTTTAGAATAAGAAAAGCACAGCGTTTAGGATGAGAATCGGCCAGAGCATGTGTTGACCATTGGTAGACACATACATTTTGCATGCACTTGTTTGTATTGAAATTAATTAACTATATTATAATATTCTTAATGTAAGCAATCATTAATAATTGATTATTTTAGTAGACACATATATCTATAACAATCTAGATAAGTAGACCAACTTTATCCAAACTGTTGTAGTCCAGGATGGCCTTCCCACTCTTGTAGAGACAGTTCTGAGACCGGCAAGAAGATGGAACGCTCGAGTTGATCTTCACAGTTGAGTTCTCACACGCTTATAAAGGATACACAGGGACGCGTTGACAAGAATATGATACACCATTTATAATCAATCAGACATAATACCATAAATAAAATACCACAGTCTGTTGTAATGCAACATTGTTATTACAGCAGATCAAATAAAATTTATTTAATCGAACAAAGTATAACTTCTCAATTTTTACCATCACCGTGGCCATTGCTGGATATTTTATTTTCATCACCCAGTGCACTCCCTTAGCCTGCAGTTATGTTTGACTTGCTGTGCGAGACAGGAGGCAAGCATCGTATTTTATTTTTATACATGGTGATAATATCATAAATTATTTTATCAAAATCATTCTTCTGTAACATTGTCATTTCTTCTTTCAAGACAACATTACAGTAACTTTAATTGAATGACCTCGTGAGAATTGTGATGATTTTAAAGGCTTTGGTACTAAAATCCACAGTGTTGGCGAGTTTTGAACTTAGACGTCATGAAATTGCACCATTTTCTCGCTTAAATGTTACAAGATTCACAACTTCAACCTACGTATCGTGTCGTAGTCGTCCCATTGGTTGACCATCATGATCTCGTAGGAATACTTGAACCAGGAGAGTTTCTCCAGCCATATGAAGTAGTCTGGCGTAGAACTGAAGAAAATTACAGACAACATACTAGCATAATGGAGGGCCTATTTTTATAATCTACTATGAAATGATGTTTATATTATAAGTTTAGAAATAGGTGCTAGGTGGCCGTGTGGTTTAAACTGAGCAAATCTCAAGTAGGTGGTTCGATTCCAGCCAAAGTATGGTGGATGACACTCTTTAACCCTTGGATGGCAACTCATCTAAGAGAAGGAAACTCTGAAGTCAAACCCGGAGATGGAGTCCCGAAGGCGGATAACATTGTTATAACATTCCGACAACTCCTGCGACTTCACTGGTGCCAAGCTGTATCATAGAAATGACTCTCTTACTTGCACGACGGACGGCGGAACACACATAGGTTAGTAGTACGCCCATATGCTCCTAAATTTACTTGATCTTGAAACAAGAAGAAGCAAACTATTCCTTACTTATTAAACCAGTGGTAGAATGTGTAATAGTTGTATGCAAAATAGATATGCTAGTTATGTAAGTATGCAAAATATATACGCTAGTTATGTAAGTAGCAAGGCTTACATTTTCTATTTTTAAATGATGACTCCTGTTCATTACTGATTATGTAAAGAAGTGCTTTAAATCAATAACTTGTCCAGCTCATCGATAGTACCCCATAACCGTAAACGGTATCGACATACTGCCCCGCGACATGTCTTTTATAGACTCCACGTGTAAGTGCGTATTCAACCAACAGTCGTAATGAAACATGTGTAGTTGCACAAACTGAAATGCGTTTGAGTTTTGAGTCTCCAGCAGACTCAGTGTGTACACCAGCGATATTACTTTCTAGCTCTCATTTAGAAGGTTCTACCACCTGCTCAAGTCAAACAGCCATTTCAATAGTCTTAACCCCAATGGAATATTAGACATTGCAGCTACTGGTGTATTGTATTCGAATAATTCTGAAGTCAGAATTAAAATGAAAAATAAATTAATGTTTCGATTTGGAAATAATCGATTGAATGATTTCGTGAGAATAATAAATAATCAAAATCCACAACCTTAAATAGCTGCAGTGTCTTTTTCCTGTTTGGTTTTCAAATCTGATCACCACCAATAACTTTTCCATTCTTCTGAGCTCCCTTTTTTTTTTTTACGAAAGTGTTCACATTCTTATTTTCTTCTTATATTTTCAATATTATGTTAAATTATGCTTATAGGAATTATTTGTTATCTTTAAAAAAAAATAAAAAAAAATTCTACAATAAAAGCATTTGCCGAAACGTTTGCATCTGCAATCCTTTGAATCATTATTAAAGATTAAGGTCAATTGTTTTATTCACACAAATTGTTTTTGTCTCAGTAATCTTAATCTTAATCTCAATCTTAATTGCCAAGAGTCTAGAACAGCAGGTTATCCCACACATGAGTACCTTAAGGTTTACTTGCCCAAATAGATAGTTAGTATTGACGGACATAAGTAGATTAGATTGTACTAGGCAAACCGTTATCTGGTACATTTTTGGAGCGCAAATATGTGTATGTCTCATATAAGCTTATCACAATTTATTTATTTATTTAGTCATTTTTATATAGCGCTTACCTTAAAGCTCTAAGCGCTTTACAATTATTAAAAACATGTAAACCAACTAGAATAAAAATGAGACACTAGGATAGTAACTACCATACTATAGAAACAATGAAAATGGCTATAAAACGAGGACACTTTGGCACGTTTTGGCCTATACTACAGGATCAACCCGAGACAGAAAATGAGGCAGGGCAAGGAGGGTGCATCACAGGTCATAGGCGGAGCTAAACAGATGGGTTTTAAGGGACTTTTTAAAAGTGGACGAGGTTTCACAATGACGGATATGGAAGGGGAGCTGGTTCCAGAACGTGGGCCCATGGAAGTAGAAGGAGCGTTCACTGATGGTCTTAGTTGTGGTTCTTGGGATTGAGAGGGTTCTATTGTATTTGATACTAGGATAATCATGTTGGGTCTTTGGATAATCATGTTGGGTCTTTGGATAATCATGTTGGGTCTTTGGATAATCATGATGGGTCTCTGTATACTCATGTTGGGTCTACTATTATAATTAATCTTCGTGGCTGTTAAAATTTATCATCTAACATGTTTATGGATGGGTATGCTAAATATGTTTATGACTAGTTAAGCATATTTGTCATAGTTTGAACTACCTTTTACCCCCAGAGTGGTCTATTGAATAATTTTCATATTTTGGGTAACATATATAGCTAGAGATCTGAACAACTCATCCTGTATTGGTAAGTAATTAAAAATTGTAGTGACCATCGACTACCCTCCCACTCGGGAACACAAATAAAGTAATATTTATTACGTTTGGATTTTTGGAGTAAGATACTTACTGTTTCTTGGTGTTTGATACGTATGGGTTGTTGGTGTTTTGTACTTATGGATTGTTGGTGTTTTATACGTATGGATTGTTGGTGTTTTATACGTATGGATTGTTGGTGTTTTATACGTATGGATTGTTGGTGTTTTATACGTATGGATTGTTGGTGTTTTATACGTATGGATTGTTGGTGTTTTATACGTATGGATTGTTGGTGTTTTATACGTATGGATTGTTGGTGTTTTATACTTATGGATTGTTGGTGTTTTATACTTATCGATTGTTGGTGTTTTATACTTATGGATTGTTGGTTTTTTATACGTATGGATTGTTGGTGTTTTATACTTATGGATTGTTGGAGTTTTATACTTATGGAATGTTGGTGTTTTATACGTATGTATTGTTGTAGTTTTATACGTATGGATTGTTGGTGTTTTATACATATGGATTGTTGGTGTTTTATACGTATGGATTGTTGGTGTTTTATACGTATGGATTGTTGTAGTTTTATACGTATGGATTGTTGGTGTTTTATACGTATGGATTGTTGGTGTTTTATACGTATGGATTGTTGGTGTTTTATACGTATGGATTGTTGGTGTTTTATACGTATGGATTGTTTGCGTTTTATACATATGGATTGTTGGTGTTTTATACGTATGGATTGTTGGTGTTTTATACGTATGGATTGTTGGTGTTTTATACGTATGGATTGTTGTAGTTTTATACGTATGGATTGTTGGTGTTTTATACGTATGGATTGTTGGTGTTTTATACGTATGGATTGTTGGTGTTTTATACGTATGGATTGTTGGTGTTTTATACGTATGGATTGTTGGTGTTTTATACTTATGGATTGTTGGTGTTTTATACGTATGGATTGTTGGTGTTTTATACTTATGGATTGTTGGTGTTTTATACGTATGGATTGTTGGTGTTTTATACGTATGGATTGTTGGTGTTTTATACTTATGGATTGTTGTAAATTTATACGTATGGATTGTTGTAGTTTTATACGTATGGATTGTTGGTGTTTTATACTTATGGATTGTTGGTGTTTTATACGTATGGATTGTTGGTGTTTTATACGTATGGATTGTTGGTGTTTTATATGTATGGATTGTTGGTGTTTTATACTTATGGATTGTTGGTGTTTTATACGTATGGATTGTTGGTGTTTTATACTTATCAATTGTTGGTGTTTTATACGTATGGATTGTTGGTGTTTTATATGTATGGATTGTTGGTGTTTTATAAGTATGGATTGTTGGTGTTTTATACGTATGGACTGTTGGTGTTTTATACGTATGGATTGTTGTAGTTTTATACGTATGGATTGTTGGTGTTTTATACTTATGGATTGTTGGTGTTTTATACGTATGGATTGTTGTAGTTTTATACGTATGGATTGTTGGTTTTTTATACATATGGATTGTTGGTGTTTTATACTTATGGATTGTTGGTGTTTTATACGTATGGATTGTTGGTGTTTTATACTTATGGATTGTTGGTGTTTTATACGTATGGATTGTTGGTGTTTTATACGTATGGATTGTTGGTGTTTTATACGTATGGATTGTTGGTGTTTTATACGTATGGATTGTTGGTGTTTTATACTTATGGATTGTTGGTGTTTTATACTTATCGATTGTTGGTGTTTTATACTTATGGATTGTTGGTGTTTTATACGTATGGATTGTTGGTGTTTTATAATTATGGATTGTTGGTTGTTTTATACTTATGGATTGTTGGTGTTTTATACGTATGGATTGTTGGTGTTTTATACGTATGGATTGTTGGTGTTTTATACTTATGGATTTTTGGTGTTTTATACTTATGGGTTGTTGGTGTTTTATACTTATGGATTGTTGGTGTTTTATACGTATGGATTGTTGGCGTTTTATACGTATTGATTGTTGGTGTTTTATACGTAAGGATTGTTGGTGTTTTATACGTATGGATTGTTTGTGTTTTATGCGTATGGATTGTTGGTGTTTTAAACTTATGGATTGTTGGTGTTTTATACGTATGGATTGTTGGTGTTTTATACTTATGGATTGTTGGTGTTTTATACGTATGGATTGTTGGTGTTTTATACTTATGGATTTTTGGTGTTTTATACTTATGGATTGTTGGTGTTTTATACTTATGGATTGTTGGTCTTTTATACGTATGGATTGTTGGTGTTTAAACGTATGGATTTTTGTTGTTTTATACGCATGGATTGTTGGTGTTTCATCATTATAAACATGATTTTTTTCAAAAACACTACCTAAGAACTTACTCTCCATTGAGAAAAACTCCACCAAAAAGCATAAAGGGGATTAATGCGGGTGAAGCCACAGAAAGAGCTAGCGTTGTGTCCCCTGTAATCACAGAAATCAAATAACCTGAAAAGGATAGAGAAATATGATCACTTGGTGCCCCACTTGGTGTCCCACTCGGTGCCCCACTCGGTGCCCCACTTAGTGCCCCACTCATTGTCCCACTTGGTGTTCCATTTGGTACCGCACTTGGTGCCCTTCCAAATCAACTATATTTTCTATAGCACACACATTCTGACTAAAGAAGTTATTCTGTATTGGGATTATACATGTGACTGCTACAAACTAATTTAAAGATGAGATGTTAGTATCGACATCAAATTTCACATGTCTCCTTCCAAGTAGTAACGCTAAATGATTGGAGAGAGAAAGAATACAATTTTTTTTTAAAAATTGAGTATTTGAGACACAACTATTTAATTATGTTGGTAAGTAAGTGGACAACGCTCCATCGGTGTTCATCATCCCCCACCCCCTTTTGACCAACATAAGATTGATTAATTTTATTTGTTGATTCTTTAACTTTATCAATTCCATCAGATACTGATGACATGTTCTAATGTAGTTACACAAATCCCGTACTGGTACAGTTACACAAATTCCGTACTGGTACAGCTACACAAATTCCGTACTGGTACAGCTACACAAATACCATACTGGTACAGTTAAACCACTTATTGGTACACCCACACGAACTTTGACTACAAGACATTTGCTCTATACCAACATTGACACAGTCTACGACTTCAGGACATGTGCTACATACCAAATTTGACACAGTCTACGTCTTCAAGACATGTGCTACATACCAACATTGACACAGATAATTCCTGCTGCAAGAGTTACCCCCGTCGCCACAATGAAGGCCTCCAATGTGTCATGAAATCCTGTAAAACATTCAGCAACTGGTATAGGTTCCAAACAGTATCTGGTTACGTTACAAACAATATCTTGCATAAATTACAAATAATATCAGGTATAAAGTACAAACATGTCAGTAATAGTTGGTTAGCTCTCTGTCTCAAGCCTGGGGTAAATGAACATCATTCATGAACATGCAGCTTTCATAGAGCGTCAGTTATAACAGAAGTTATAACAATAACATGTTGACGTCGTTGCCAAATTTTGATACATTTTATGTTATTGAAAATGGTCACATATTAAACACTAGCAATAAGAAGACGGCTAATGGGAGAACTGACCCATCATCCAGTAGCAGGTCGATGAGAAGAGCACTGTGATCACCGTGAACAAAGGGATCTGCAACAGAACGGTACAAAATCATGAAGTTGCCCCTTCTTCAGAATCCGTTATATTTTTAAGGCAATTAAAGCAAAGCAAAGGAACAAATAGATAATAAGATTTTACATTTAGTAATGTTTCCAATGAAGTTGCTATAGTAGTATTTATAACTTGTAAGTCCAATTTATTCCATAATAGAAACGTATTTTTAACAATAAACACTGGTGTAAAAGAGAGTAAAGGTATGTCCATTGAGTACCTCTGCCATAATCAATGTAAGTGCAGTAAGTACCTCTTACCTCTGCCATAATCAATGTAAGTGCAGTAAGTACCTCTTACCTCTGCCATAATCAATGTAAGTGCAGTAAGTACCTCTTACCTCTGCCATAATCAATGTAAGTGCAGTAAGTACCTCTTACCTCTGCCATAATCAATGTAAGTGCAGTAAGTACCTCTTACCTCTGCCATAGTTTTTGTGAAGTAGTAAAGATCAATTCTGTACAAACCAGAGCCATACTCTCTCATAACAATTCCCATCTCTTCGGGGAATGACTGCAATGTAATTTTTAGCATAGGTTACATTGTTACACTTATTTATAGCATTATCTACATCGTTACATTTATGTATAGCACAGAAACATGCATGCTCAAAAACTAGTTACCACTAATTTTTCAAAATATCTTATAGACTCTCTCACAAAGTTGTGGACATCTTAGGTTAATGTATGTATCTTATAGACTCTCTCACAAAGTTGTGGACATCTTAGGTTAATGTATGTATCTTATAGACTCTCTCACAAAGTTGCGGACATCTTAGGTTAATGTATGTATCTTATAGACTCTCTCACAAAGTTGTGGACATCTTAGGTTAATGTATGTATCTTATAGACTCTCTCACAAAGTTGTGGACATCTTAGGTTAATGTATGTATCTTATAGACTCTCTCACAAAGTTGTGGACATCTTAGGTTAATGTATGTATCTTATAGACTCTCTCACAAAGATGAGCGTTGAAAATAAATGGTGCGTATCAAATAGAAATGTATGTTCCAAAGATATATTATAAAACAAATGATCCAGTACTTGGGTCATGCAATCTCTATCTTAACACTACCGTGAGGACGGCGAACATGTTGGTGAAGGAGACGTTGGTCAGCAGCAGGAACAAGGCTCCGTTGATGTTCATCACGCCCTTCTGGTCGACGTCTAACTGTAGGTACACCAGACCTAGAACCAAGGCCATCACCTGGGGATACACATTTCCAAGTGTTTCATCCAGTACAGGATTTACGTATAGATTAAGTAGGTTTAAGCCTAGGGCCTCCAACATCGCATAGGTCGAAAAATTTAAGAAGCACAACTTATAGATTCTCGCCCTTGAAACATGAAAATTTTAAAATCTATAAAATTGAAATACATTTTTGTTCATGATTTTATTTATTCAATAATTTGGTTTTTAAAATGATTACTTTTTGTCTCTCCAAAGGTGGGAATCTATAACTATAAAATTGGTCTCCTTAAATTATTAGTCTTCTATTTCGTTGATTTTATTATAAATGATTACGTTAAAATCAGTGCACATCGTGGTCAAAATAACATTGTCACCAGGCCTTGCAAACACTGTGGCTGCTGGGGTGGGTGGGGGGCCCGGGGGCCCTCTGGTAATGATGTTATGCTTGATTCCGCTATTCTTTTGAACTCTGATGTTAAAGGAAAAGATGATGCCAGACTTCAAGCCAATGGTCTTAGCAGAAGATGGAAGAAATGCATTTTTTTTTAATGATTATGGGTTGGCTTTCAAATGTTAATAGTCTAGGGCCTAAAAAAAAGTAGGCTTGGCCTCAAACTGTAAGTAGTCTAGGACCTCAAAATGAAAATTTCTAGGGCCTCAAAATTTAAGTAGTCGATGGCCTTAAAATGGAAGTAAACTAGGGCCTCAACTTGTAAGTAGTCTATTGCCTCAAAATGTAAGTAGTCTAGGGCTTCAAAATGTAAGTAGTCTTGGGCCTCAAAATGTAAGTAGTCTAGGGGCTACAGGTTCTAAACCACACATTTAATACGAGTTCAGGCTGAGACAAAAACCTTTAAGTTTGTTGGAAAAATTACTGAATAGTAACTCATCAAAATACATATATAATAATCTGAATTACCAATAAACATTATTTTCTACTCTCACCCAAATATTGGTTTGTTACAATGCAATAAAAATACTGGAAGAAGGTTGCATTTGACGACTGGCACAGAGGTGTCTTGATTTTAACCAGTACTTTTGATTGGTCCTTTTGTATATCCCGTCCTTGAACTATAACACTCTTATTCTGTTGCTCCGACCACTGACATATACACCAAAGTATATCGTGGCGATTCTACTTACCACAGTCTGCATGATTCTGACACCAAACAGCATATCATCCCTGTACTGTGATGTCCAAGATCTCCAGAACAGGTTGACCACTTGGACCATCAAGGATGAAGAGTATCTAGTGAAGACACATTCAAACACAGCTATAAAAGACACTTGGCTGTTTCACCTGTGTCGTGCTGACTACAGTATGACTGTACATTTAACTTTTCTTCTCATTTAAATTTTCAGGTGCGTGTAAAGGTGGGAGATTGGGAGGTGGTGGGAGAGGTGGGCATGGTGGGAGAATTGGGCGTGGTGGGAAGAGGTGGGCATGGTGGGAGAAGTGGGCGTGGTGGGAGAGGTGGGCATGGTGGGAGAAGTGGGCGTGGTGGGAGAGGTGGGCGTGGTGGGAGAAGTAGGCGTGGTGGGAGAGGTGGGCTTGGTAGGAGAAGTAGGCGTGCTGGAGAATTGGGCGGGGTGGGAGAATCGGGCGTGGTGTGAGAGGTGAGCATGGTGGGAGAATTGTGTGTGTTGGATGACGTGGGCGTGGTGGTAGAATTGAGCGTGGTGGGATTGGTGGGAGAGATGGGGGGTGTTGGGAGAAATGGGCGTCGTGGGAGAAATTGGCGTGGTGGGAGAGTGTGCATGATGGGGAGCGGACGTGAAAATGTAAAAAAACTTTTTTTTAAAATCGATTTGAGATTTTGAAGAACGTTTCAGTTTCTAAAAATGTCAAGTTCTATATCTACTTTGTCAGCATTACATTGGCACTTTAATATTTTATTTGCATAACAGTCAATAACATAATAATACTTGAAATCTATAACTAAAATACCTGGATTCTCCGGTCACTTCATTCATCTGTAACACATAAAAAATGTCCATTAAAAAAAAATACATACTTTCATTGAGGTTAATAACATTACTTGAAACCCATTACTTTGCTTAGATGTATGTCTGGCTGTCTTTATATTTCTAACAAACATTCATTCCTCGTTACCAATAAATGAAATCTAATTATTGTTTTGTACATTTGTATAAATGGAAAGACTTTCTTAGGAATGAGACATGAAATAACACATGATCCCTGTACCTATCCAATAGTACATTATCCCTGTGAATAACTAATAGTACATTATCTCTGTACCTATCCAATAACAGATGATCCCTGCGCTTATCCAATAACACATTATCCCTGTGCTTGTCCAATAATACATTCTCCTAATGACTTCTCAAAACTCCATTCTCCCTGCACATATCCTGTCATCCACTGCTCATAAAAACTCTTCGCTTTTCAATCTAGCCACGCACAGCTTAGCTCATCCACACACAGCTTAGCTCATCCACACACAGCTCAGATCATCCACACACAGCTCAGTTCATCCCGACACCCGACCGACTTCCAGACATCCATCCCAGAATCCAGCCATACTCCTTTGATACACCCTTTCATCAATCCATCGTACCAGTATATGGTCAGACAAATCCACCTCTCGTTTTTGGGTCTCAATCTGTTCTTTGATGTACCTGGCTTGTGGGCTGTCCATAAAACCATCACAAATCGCCTAGAGTAATTGATCAACTTGATTGAGATATCGTCTTAACATGGTATAGTCATGCGTAATACAGACAAACGAGGTAAGAGTCCCTGATAAGTTAGCTATTTATTTTATGAAGTAGTCCAGGTGCGTATCCGGAAATTTATTGAAAGAAATCTCATCGACATAAAATTGATCGACGGCTATTTGAACGAACGAAAGTTTGGTCGAATCTTTTTTTCAGATCACATTTTAAAATTGTGCGTCAAATTTCTTTTTAAATTTTTTTTTGAACGCATTTTCTTTTAAACATTTAGTATAAAGCGTTCAAAAGATAATTTAACAAAAATTTGCTTGTGTGAAATGAAAAAAATATTGGAACAAATTTCCGTTCGATCAAATTTCTATCAATTTTCCGTCACTGAAATTTATTTCAAATAAATTTCTGTCCAGGTGTTATGTGAAAATAGCCCAGGTGTGGGTGTAAAAGCCTGGCCGGCGTAGGAACTTGTGCGCACAGAGTGCACGAGCCTGGGTGGAGTGGGGACTAAACCTTGTGCGCACAGAGTGCACGAGCCTGTGTGGAGTGGGGACTAAACCTTGTGCGCACAGAGTGCACGAGCCTGGGTGGAGTGGGGACTAAACCTTGTGCGCACAGAGTGCACGAGCCTGGGTTGAGTGGGGACTAAACCTTGTGCGCACAGAGTGCACGAGCCTGGGTGGAGTGGGGACTAAACGATTCAGAGCGTGAAAGACAAAGCAATGAAGCCCAGAGATCCTTTCAGTTTGTAGGTTCCGGTTTTTTAAATCGAAACTAACCTGACAAATTGGAGGAGAGCCTGTGATAGATTAGAGGGCATCAGTCTTAATAATGGTTCAGAGGGATTTTGTTTTAGTGTTAATAAAAGGATAATAAAATAATAAAAGGATAATAAAAGTATAATAAAATAATAATTAAAGGATAATAAAAAAATAATAAAATGATAATAAAATGATAATAAAATGATAATAAAATGATAATAAAATGATAATAAAATGATAATAAAATGATAATAAAAGATAATAAAATGATAATAAAATGATAATAAAATGATAATAAAATGATAATAAAATGATAATAAAATGATAATAAAATGATTATAAAATGATAATAAAATGATAATAAAATGATAATAAAATGATAATAAAATGATAAGAAAATGATAATAAAATGATAATAAAATGATAATAAAATGATAATAAAATGATATCATTCTAGAGCAGCATTTCCATTTTTTATTTTATTTTCGTGCACCGCTGGACACGTTTCGAAATGTTACTTGAGTCCTGTGCATGAATTATGAATTATATTTATTTGTTATTTCAGCATACATATCCATGCTGTGCCGACCGGTAACGAAAGGCTGGCGAAGTGGTGCCGGTCCACGGATCACCATTTGGGGGACGCTGCCCTAGAACGGTCGACAAAACATCACAAGGGCACTAAACACGATTCTTGACAGAAAACTTTCGACCAAAAGTTGACTACACTTCAGACGAAGCTCACTATCAATGGTGTCGGGTTGTCGTAGTCAGGTGGTGAATTACATTTGGCCTGGTCTAGACCAGAGGCGGCTACCTGCGCGCACGTGCCAGATTTTGCACGCATAGTGATTTTCATGGGGTCTTCAAAAGAGTACATTGACTTTTTCAACGGGTAGATACTTATAAGCACTTATACTCGACTTTCGATGGGGTCATCAACCGTAGATATTCCTTGAGTGGTTCACTGTGCGTGTCTGTGATTTACTCTGTTCTTTGTGATAGCTTCATTTTGCTTGTGTGCTGAAGAAGGCTCTGTGCCGGAACGTCCTAATCTTTTTGTCCTGTTCTCTAATCCAAGCTTCCACAGACCTCGTTTTGCTATTTCATAGGATTTTCTTTGGCACGCGAAAGATCAAAGCATATTTATGATGCCTTACAATGCGTTTTGCAGGGTGGACTTATAAGTTATTCACACCCGAAGTGAAATAGACCTGTTCATACCGAAAGTTTACTGTTCCTAGTCTAGATGATTTATTGACGCTCTGAAAGTGAGTTGGTAGTCTGGGGCTTATGTCAAACTCCTTCGAAATCGCCTGAGGCCTTTGAGCCACTACACGTGTAAGGCTGTCTAGAGATAAAGCATTACAATATTTTTTTTTAAAATAATGATTGAACTGTCCATTCATGATCTGACCTTTGTCCGCGCCCTGGCCTCATCTTCTCTCCCAGGCACAATCGCAAGTGTTAAGATGTAGTGGTCACTGGGGTTAAAGTTCGATGGACAAGGGTAACGCATCCTGGAATAAACATTTAAAGAAAGACTTTTTACAAAAAATTGAGTTAAAAATAATCACTTATTTCATTTAGCTGGCAGTTAAGATTGTATATTTTACATTTCATTTTCGCTGTAATCAATTACTTCCAAAGCCTCATGCCATTCGCGCCTCATTGATAATCCACTTTTGTTCAAATAAGAAATGTCTTGTTCAGGTTTTCGTTTGACAGTAGCAATGGTAGAAAATTGCCAAAATAATACATTCTAAAATGTTCTTGTGAATAACTGACACAATTTTGTTTGTTATAAACCAGAAGTTAAGAATTCACTCAAGTTGTTCCTCCAGATAATTTTAAGAATACATTGATATATTTTTTTTAAAAAATCAGTCTAGTACAGTGATATTATAGTAATAAAGTGATATAACAGAAATACGTTGCTATGAAAAGATCACATATAACAGTATCTTATAAGTGCTTAGATTGCCTGTTTAAAAAGTCAAGTATAAGTGCTTATATTACCTGTTGAAAAAGTCAATTATAAGTGCTTATATTACTTGTTGAAAAAGTCAATTATAAGTGCTTATATTACCTGTTGAAAAGTCAATCATAAGTGCTTATATTACCTGTTGAAAAAGTCAATGCACTCTTTTGATGTCCCCATAAATGCAACTCGCCCTTCAGATAACAAAAGTACTCTGTGGAATCAACATGCATTGTCAAATACAGAAGTGAACTACTTCTATGACACTGTCATTTCAATCTTATAACTTATTGGTGTCTAGCGTTTGCAATATTGCACTAGACACATGATACTAAGCACATGACCCCGACACATGACACCAGACACATGACACATGCCATTAGACACATGACACTTGACAAATGACACTCAAAAAATGACACTCGACACATGCCACTAAGCACAAGACACTTGACACATGACACTAAAAAAATTACACTCGACATATGCCACAAAGCACATGGCAGACTCACTGATTAAATAAAGCAAATAGTTCCGAGGATGGCTGATGGATGGTGCATAAGATGGCTCTCCCCCGTGCAGCCATTCTCTGTTAGAGAGTATTTGTAAGGTAGTGATGTTAGTACTTGAAATAAATGGCTGCCACAGAATTTGTCATGAAACTCAGTAATAATAAAAGATCTACAATAATTTAGTTAGTTGCTCTGTAAATCTAAGGGGAAATAATGTCAGCAATAGCTATAACTATAGTGTATGCGATTCAAACTTTTTGCCTGCAATGTGTGGACGATTCTATTTGCCAAGAAGATATAATAAAAACTTTTTTTTTACCTGCAAGGTGTGTACAATGCTCTGTGCCATAAATGTATCAAGACTCGATGTCGGCTCATCACAGAAGAATATTGGTGGGTTGGTTAACGCCTCTGATGCAAATGAGAGCCTCTTTCTTTCTCCCCCTGAAATACCCTTCTTTGTCCCATGGGCGGCTCCGATACGAGAGTTCGCGCATCCTTGAAGACCCATCTGAAAATTTCTCTTCTTATGTTAACAGAATGTTACCCTAGTTTTGTAGGCTGCATCGCCAGAACTAATAAAATTTTTATTTCTTTTTTTTTTTAAATTAACGGGCTTTTTATAGAACATCTTGTTCAATATAAACAGCCATGTGTTTAAAAATGACAAGAATTACTTGTGCATGGTCTTATTTATATAAATATTTGTTCTAAATATATTTTATACGTAGTTGTATTGTTAGAAAGTTATAATATTTGAAGACAACACTACCTCAGATTTAACATCTTCAACATTACCTCAGTTATAACCTCTTCAACTCTCGCCAATCTCGCCCTTTTGTCTAATTTTCTGTCCATTCTGAGAAGTGCCTGTAATGACAAAGACTTGTAATAACCAAGAACGCCCAGGGTAGGTCATCATTTATAAATGACTACCATCCGTTATTTTCACCTTTACGGGCAGTGCCTTCTTACGCCATGGGCACAATGGGCAGTTGCCCAGGGCATATCGCTTCTAAGGGCATCACCCTTCTAGAACTTTTCTACAAAACATTGTGTGTACCAGTTTTTGGGGTGTCATTTGTAAATATTTACATTTAAAAAATGAAACATTTATTTATTATAGTTACGTTTCATTCTAGTCCTGCCCGTTTTACAATGTTAGCAGTACTTTTTGGGACGGGCAATGTATTTTACGGAATTTTTTATTTTTGGTAGTATTTTTTAAAATCATTTGTTAATGAAGTAGTTTAAACAAATAAGATTTTAATTCCAAGAATTATAAAATACAATTAGTGGTAAGAAGCAAAAACAGACAAGTAAACGGACACAAACTTTGTATGAACACAACACATTCAAGTGTCGGCTACATATCCAGGGAAATTGTGAAATAAGGTAACTTAACTTGACGTATGTCTCAAAATGCAAGAATTCATCTAGAATTTTCTAGAGAAGGGCTCACTCAGACCTAACATCCGACCCCCTCTCACCACTTTCGATTGGGAGCCTTCGGCACTCTCAATTTCTACTCCTGGGGCGATCTGCAGTCATTATAAAGCAGAAGAAACCCCCATTGAAGCAGCGCTACACCACTTCTCTTATTCTTCTTCTATATCTTAAGGGCCCACGATCAATTTATTGATCATTTTGGCTCCTATGCATGTAGATGGGATTTGCAATCTTTCTGTTCCTGGTGTTGATGAGGAAATTTCACAGATTTCCAGTGCCACTTTGTGAGGGAATCATGCACTAGGGGTTAGAAGGCTTGAGGCAATAGACACAAATGTGTCTAGTGTTGTCGCCTCAACCGTTCTTTTTGAAAGATTGTTCCACTCCCTGATTGTCTTTGGCCGGAATGAGCAGCTCCTATACTGGCTTCTTGCTGGTATGAGCCTGAATTGCCTGTCATGGCCTCGTCGCTGTCTATGGGGGAGAGGGAAGAGTTTCTGTTTAATACTGGAACAGTGGACCAGCCCATTATTTATCTTGTACATCATGGAGAGCCTGGATTGTCGTCGTCGTTTCTCCAATGGTGACCAGCCTAGGGTTTCCAGCATGCTGCCAAAACTAGAGGTATTCCTGTAGCGGTTTAGGACAAATCGCGCTGCTCGTCGCTGGAGCGCCTCCAACCTGTCAATGCTCTTCTGAGTAAATGGGTCCCAGACTGAAGATGCATAATCTAAAATCGGAAGGACACAGGCTTTATATGCTCTTTCTTTCACACAGGAGTTGTCAATCTTTAGATTTCGCCTTAAGAACCCTAGAGTCTTGTTTGCTTGGTTACATACATTGTTAATATGCTCGTCCCAGCGGACCTCTCTTTGAATGTCAAATCTGTAATCTTCACAATTTCTCCCAGCAAACAAAGTAATTGTGTGATCCTCTAAGAGCCAATAAATCAGCATCAGCATCAGCTGAGCATCAAGATCTAACAACAACTACAGTGAAACAACTACTTTAAAAAAAATAAAACAAAAACACCTCAAAACCAATGCAGTCAAGCCAACCTTGCAATTCACCAGGACACCACAATGCACCAGGACACCACAATGCACCAGGACACCACAATGCACCAGGACACCACAATTCACCAGGACGACACAATGCACCAGGACACCACAATGCACCAGGACGACACAATCACCAGGATGACACAATGCACCAGGACACCACAATGCACCAGGACACCACAATGCACCAGGACACCACAATCCACCAGAACAACACAATCACCAGGATGACACAATGCACCAGGACACCACAATGCACCAGGACACCACAATGCACCAGGACATCACAATGCACCTGGACACCACAATGCACCAGGACACCACAATGCACCAGGACGACACAATGCACCAGGACACCACAATGCACCAGGATACCACACTGCACCAGGACACCACAATGCATCAGGAAATGAAACAGCAAGCAAACTAACAAGACTGGGAGCATCCAATGAAAAGTCAAACAGATCTACATCACTCAGCACTGCCAAACATACCTACATAACTGAACACTGCCAAACATACCTAATCACTCAACACTGCCAAACATACCTACATAACTCAACACTGCCAAGCATACCTACATCACTAAACACTGCCAAGCAGACCTACATCACTCAACACTGCCAAGCAGACCTACATCACTTACACTGCCAACCATACCTACATCACTCAACAATGCCAAACATACCTACATCACTCAACACTGCCAAACATACCTACATCACTAAACACTGCCAAACATACCTACATCACTAAACACTGCCAAGCAGACCTACATCACTCAACACTGCCAAACATACCTACATCACTAAACACTGCCAAGCAGACCTACATCACTCATCACTGCCAAGCATACCTACATCACACAACACTTCTAAACAGACCTACATCACTCAACACTGCCAAGCATACCTACATCACACAACACTTCTAAACAGACCTACATCAGTCAACACTGCCAAGCAGACCTACATCACACAACACTTCTAAACAGACCTACATCACTCAACACTGCCAAGCATACCTACATCACACAACACTTCTAAACAGACCTACATCACTCAACACTGCCAAGCATACCTACATCACACAACACTTCTAAACAGACCTGCATCACTCAACAATGCCAAGCAGACTATCAGCGCTAACATAAAAACGTGGTTTAATGGATGGGCTGTAGGCTGAAGAGGAACATGTGTTTTCACATATATGCCTCATATGGCACGAACAGGTCATAATTTTTTGCCTGCGCATAGAATGCATGCAACTTACTGACCATTTTTTGCCGTATATCATATGATAGAGCACTAATTCCGACACCCCTGCAAACATCTAAATGAGACAGCAACATATCACCTCTTCCACTGCCCAGGACTTCAAGAATAATGTCTAAAACCATCTATCAAAAACACCCTCTACACCAACAACCTCTACACCAACACCATCTCCACCAACAACCTCTACACCAACAACCTACCCACCAACACCCTCTACACCAACAACCTCTACACCAACACCCTCTACACCAACACCCTATACACCAACACCCTATATATCCACACCCTATATACCAATACAATATATACCAAAACCCTATACACCAGCACCATGTGTCCTAGCACACTATGTGCAAAAACCCAATGTACCAACACCATATGTACCAACACCCTACACACCAACATCCTATACACCAACACCATATACACCAAGACCCTATACACCAACACCCTATACAGCAAGACCCTATAAACCAACACCCTATATACCAACACACTATATACTAACAACCTATACATCAAAACCCTATACAACAACACCCTCTACCAAAACCTACACATCAACCTTCTATATTCCAACAAAGAATGGCTGCGGGTGAGTGTGTAAATGTTTCAGCATGGCCTAAGGCCGAATGGCCAAATCCCCAAATGCCCAGAGGATGAAGGGCACATGCCCAAATCGCCACATGGTGAAGGGCACATGCCCCAACGGCCACTGGATCTGAAGGATGATGATGATGATGAAACTCACCCTAAACTGCAGTTGCTCCCGGACAGTCAAGGTGTGGATGAAGAGGTCACTCTGCTGGACATATGCTGAGATGTTTCTCATGCCACTGTTAATCTAGATGTTACAGAAAGTAAGCAGAACATTAAAATTAATTGTAATATTTAAATTAAACGTGACATTTTTTTATTTTCTTAAACTCCCAAACGCTTACAAAATCCCGGTTAAAAAGGATTTAAATCTTCACCTAGGCCTAACACTAAAAAATAGTCCACAGCTCACCCACCCACCCGTTCACTCGACGTAGCAGACGCGGTCAACCATAATAATTTGAGAGACAGTGTCCACCCGCCTTCATCGAGTATTCTTTTCCAGCCGTTCACCAGGTGAACACCGCACGAGAAATCTTATAATGTCACACGTGTAAACGAAAAACTAACGTTTCATACACAAGTTACTCTCGAGTAGAGGGACATTCGAGGAGAGGGACATTCGAGGAGAGGGACATTCGAGGAGAGGGACATTCGAGGAGAGGGACATTCGAGTGAGAGGGACATTCGAGTGAGAGGGACATTCGAGGAGAGGGACATTCGAGGAGAGAGAGAGAGAGAGAGAAAGAGGGCCCTTAATAATACAAATTCAAAATTTAACGTTAATTAAAACAATGGTTTTCGTATAAATCCTTTATAAAATGGAATATCGAGCAATTTGAGGGGGGGGGGGCTTACAAACAAGTCAAAGAGAGAGAGAAAGAGGGCCCTTAATAATACAAATTCAAAATTTAACGTTAATTAAAACAATGGTTTTCGTATAAATCCTTTATAAAATGGAATATCGAGCAATTTGAGGGGGGGGGGGGCTTACAAACAAGTCAAGAACGATCTTAATAACAATCCCATTGAGTGCTTCCACACCCCCGAAAGCTCGCAACATGAGTTTTATTTAGAAGCCCCAGAACTCTATAAATATTCGAATGACCCGCCGGCTTTTACACCGCAGATTTATTTCACAAGCAATTTCAGAAAAACTGGGGCAAATATTACGCACCAAACTCACTTGCAATATTTTTTTTTATAATGGTCTCTTTTAGCGCAGTTATCGGGAATGCTATTTCCTGAAATCAGTGTCATCATATTTTCTTCATCTTCCCCTAGAAAAGCAGGACAATCTGATGTTTCGGTTTGGGGCTGGGTGTTGAAAAGTTTGATCGAATGTTTTGTCCTTTGCAACGAATCTTTGTACCAAGTTTCAGCTTGAGAGGTTGACTTTAAGTGGGTCGGTTCGGACATTAGAGTATTATGATAGTCCAGGTTTGGAACATTAGAATATTATGATAGTTCAGGGTTGGAACATTAGAATAATACGATAGTTCAGCGTCGGGATTTTAGAATATTATGATAATTCAGGGCTTGGAAATTAGAATATTATGATAGTTCAGGAATGGGACATTAGAATATTATGATAACTAAGGGCTGGGACATTAGAATAGCAAAATTTCAAAGTTTAAATAGGGTTCACACCGGACTCTAGTTTCTAGTTAATTTTTTATTTATTTATTGCAATAATGTTCTAAACATCCTACCACAGACACATCCTACCACAGACACATCCTACCACAGACACATCCTACCACAGACACATCCAAACACAGACACATTCTACCACAGACACATCCAAGCACAGACACATCCTACCACAGACACATCCGACCACAGACAATTCCTACCACAGACACATCCTATCACAGACACATCCTACCACAGAAACATCCTACACATACATATCCTACCACATACACATCCTACCACAGACACATCAATACCACAGACACATTCTACCACAAACACATCCGACCACAGAAACATCCTTCACAGACACATCCTACCACAGACACATCTAAACACATAAAATCCAACCACAGACACATCCTACCACAGACACATCCTACCACAGACACATCCTACCACAGACACATTCTACCACAGACACATCCTACCACCGACACATCCTACCACAGACACATCTTACAACAGACACATCCTAGCACAGACACATCCAAACACAGACGCATCCTACCACAGACACATCCTTCCTTGACACATTGTGTGCAGATTTACATACGTGTGTCAACATAGAACATCAATGTTAGAGAACAACAGGTGACCTTCCTTGACACATTGTGTGCAGATTTACATACGTGTGTCAACATAGTACATCAATGTTAGAGAACAACGTGTGTCAATACCTCAAAACTTAATGAAGTTGGAAAGTTAAAACTAGAGAATACAATTTTCTTTGAACTCTGAAGATGGAAAGTTAAAACTAGAGAATACAATTTTCTTTGAAGCCAAGGGAGTCGCAAGTTTTCCCAATAGTCCAAATATACAGCTAAGGTGCGAGGATAACATGTGGGCCCATATTAATGAGGAAACTATATGTCTCTATTTCAAATGTATTTAAAGCGTTTCGCGAAAAAACATTTAAGTTGTGAAAGAAAGTGGATACATTTTTATATGGATAACAATATTAATGAACGCAACAATTTTTCTGACGCGAATCTTAAACTTTAAAAAAAAAAGTTTCCCTTTTTTTTTATTTCCCAAAATCACAGTTCATGGGCGTGAACAAATGTGGGTTAACATTTTCTTAAGAAATAATGTTTTAAAAAATGTATTTCCATTTTACTGCAAATACAAATTAGGGCTCATGGAAAAAGACAGGTAAATTTAAATGATATTAAGAATATTTATTTAAAAACAAAAGACTGTACTAAATGTGAAAACTAGTTAAAAAATTCTTCTTTCGATAATAGAATTCTGTGTTTTTTTTCCCCGATTTTCCGAACAGATGATTCAGGAGTGAGTTAAAAGTTTGGGTAAGTTCAAATGAAGATACCTAGCTATCATATACGTTTTTGATACAAATAGTTCAACTGTTACAAATGTTACGTTAATAAATAAAAGAAGATTTCTCCCTAGAAATATTTTCAAAATAATATTTTAACAATTGTGTATTTCCTTTATTTGCGTCTAATGCTTAACATAACTGGATTGAAAAGATTAAGTGGGATAACTGCTTACTGGCACGCCGTTCAACATGACCTCCCCTTGTGTAGCATACGCTTTAGTGTTCCTGCACGTCAGAACGTTCAGAAGGGTTGACTTGCCTGAGCCACTGAGGAGAATGTCGTAGAGGTATTGGATAGTTTACAATAGAAGACATACAGACTTTTATAACAATAAATTATTATTTGTCTTACAAATGACGGTTAGTTGCTTAATACGTTAAAAACGTGATTATCAAACTATAAGACGATTATCTGACGATATCTGACCTTGCCCCCATGATGGCCAGCAAACATCCAGAAGCTGCAGCACCTGACACTGGAGAAGTGAAAGTGACACATTTATGTAGGTCAAATTGTATTGTAATGTCAGCCTCGATTGTGAGACTTTCTAAGAATGGTTTCTGTCTTAAAAATGATTTGATACAACAAATTACCCACTAAAAGCAAGTTATCTGTGCAACTCTTTGGAATAGGTCGATCGTTTCTCGTCCACCTAGGAAATATAAAACTAATCAAGTATACATACATTGATAAAATACATTTAACTAGGGCTTAACCGGGGCAGGTTGTTGTTTTTAAACCGGGCCCGGGTGTGTTGAGAAGTAGGACAACGGGCCGTCCTGCGCCGTGCCTGTCTGCTTTTAAACAACAGTCATACAGTCTCAACACACCCGGACACATTTCTATTGCTGCCACAGATACTACTTACCAGCTAAGTGCTATTTCTAATTTTTATTTGTATACCGTTTTTTCTGTTGTTTTGTTTACTGACGAAGGCTTTCTGCCGACACGTTCGCTGTTTTGTTGCGTTTATTTTTTCAGCTTTAACCCTACTTTGTTTTACTCATTTTATTCATTAGTGTAATAGTCGCCTCCTCCTAAGGAAAAACACATTTACCTGAGTTGACATGTCACTCATGACATTCTTTTTTTCCCATTCAGTACTATTAATATAAAACATTTGGAGTTGTGGTGTGGTTAGAAAAGAGGGGGCGGGGGGGGGGAGGGGTCGAAAAGGAAGCATGACATACCAGAAGCAAAATAGATATGAGAGATTTTAGTATTTTATTTGCCCTTGATTTGACTCAGGATTTTCTTGTGAAACATTTACCTGAGTTGACATGTCACTCATGACATTCTTTTTTTCCCATTCAGTACTATTAATATAAAACATTTGGAGTTGTGGTGTGGTTAGAAAAGAGGGGGCGGGGGGGGGGGAGGGGTCGAAAAGGAAGCATGACATACCAGAAGCAAAATAGATATGAGAGATTTTAGTATTTTATTTGCCCTTGATTTGACTCAGGATTTTCTTGTGAAAAGATTTTCGAGCATAAAGATTTCGTCATGCTTATTTATAGATTTTTTTTCAGAAAAGTCCATTTCATAAAGATCACATGTCCAGCCTTTTGGATAGTAGTTATAAAAATCGTTTTAACAGATCAAAATTCAAATGTCAAATCGAGGTAATGATAAATTGAGACGCAGTTATACTGACCATTGGTCAAGATCCGTTTCTCTACGGGGGGTGTGTACTCCCGTTTGAGGATATTCTTCTTCCCAGGAACTGTGACGGTCACTGAGATGTCCTTCCAGGCCAGGGAAATGTTGTGCTGTCCACTGCCTTCTAGGGCAATGCTCAGACTTGAGGCGTGCCTCCTACGGGTCTGGCGGTTGGGGGGGGGAGAAGAGAGGTGATAAACGATGTTTGCATTTAGGATTGTAATTATGTATCAATAATATGAATGTAATATATGTAATAATGTAATATAATATTACATTCTATGTAATATGTATCAATATGCTAGGACAAGTGACATAACACTCATACAAACAACAAAGGGAGACACACCCTTTGGTGACACACACACGAACAGCAAATCGAGACGTACCCTCTGGTGACCTCCATCGATGACGTCAACATTGGTGTCCATGTCACTGATAGGAACAACGGCCGTGTCTGTGTGTGTGTACAGATGGTGGTGTGGGGTAGCATGACGACCTTGTAGCAGGGATTGCCTCTCATCATCATGCTCCGAGCTGGACATGGCTCTTAGCGTGTCTGCTTGTATAGTTATGAGATCAGTTCGCTATGTACAATTTGTTCGCTATAAAATTTCTACAAGTAAAATACGGAGAAAATTATAACTATAATGGAAACGTAATCGTATCATCTGTCAGGCAAAGTGCTCATTTGATAGTAATTCAAGATGAAGACGTTTTGTGACAGTGAAAAGAGGTGGGGATGTTATGATACAGTGAAAACATATGGAAACATTATTTGACAGAGAAAACATATGGACACATTATGTGACTGACACTATGTGACAGAGAAAAAATATGGGAACATTATGTGACAGAGAAAACACATGGGAACATTGTATTTTTGTGAAAACATGTGGGAACATAATGTGACAGCGAAAACAAATGAGAAAATTATGTGACAGAGAAAGCACATGGGAACATTATGTGACTCTGAAAATATGTGGGAACATTATCATTTTGTTCCGATACTAGTTTGAACCTTTCGTTTAGGTGTAGCCTCTGGATGATATGATTGTCAGTATGATTGTTAGTATGACTCTATGTTTGATTAAATGTATGATTGTATGAGGGATTATAAGCCTGATTATAATCATGATTGTAAGTATGATTGTAAGTATGGTTGTAGGTATGATTAATTTATGATTGTATGTATGATTGTATGTATGCGTGTATGATTTCTGTGAAGTCATAAAATCTGAATGTCTGAATGTCTAAACATCATAATGCCAAAATGTCTAAATGGCTGAATGTCTAAATATCTATATGTCTAAATTTCTAAAAGTATAAATGACTGAATTTCTAAAAAAAATTAACTCTAAATGTCTGAATGTTAAAAGTCTAAATGTCTGAATGTCTAAATGCCTTAATGTCTAAAAGTCTGAATGTCTGAAAGTCTCAATTTCTGAAAGTCTGAATGTGTGAATGTCTGAATGTTTAAATGTTTGACTGTCTCAATGTTTCAATGTCTGAGTTTCTGAATGTTTGAATGTCTGATTGTCTGAATGTCCTTTAATATTGATCATATTTTGTAGATAGCAGCAAATTAAGGTTGGATGATAATTTATTCATCATTTAGCTAATACGTCAATTTACAAAAATTAATTTTAAAATTTCATGTCTACCCTACGTTTTAGGCCGAAATGTTCAGGCCTGCGTTCATATTAATTTCATTTTCTTTTTATAACTTTCAATTAACTGCAATTTAAATTACCTTAAACTAATGCTAAATCGTAATATTACTTATATGAATAGTATCGTGTTCAGTCTATACAATATGGGCACATCTGAGGATTATGTCCACGCAAAACACACCATTGAAATATGTTTGGTTGAATTTTTTACCGGACGCACACATTAAGTATCAATAAATTTCAAGTACAAATTTTAACAAATAATGTGGTAAATAGTGTCACTTGTAACAATCCTTTTTGCACCATCAAATAATAACATGCGGTAGATTTTTTTCAGCTCGAAAACCAATGTCCAGTGAGTTATAAGCTAATCCTCCTTTTCTAATAAGTGTCGTCGCATATATAGATATAGCGATGCTTACCTTCAGCCCAATCTGTTATCAGTTTAGAAGAATTTAACGTGATCTTTAACCCACCGATGAAACATGGGCACAACTCATCTTGACCAATAAGCCAAAAAATGTAACTCTACAGTCGGTCATACTTGGCTGACAGGATTTCAGTCAGTTCTCAGTGGGGGTTAGCCCAATATTGTAATGGTGTTTGTAGAACTATTGACACACAACTGGAACAGTACAGCACAACCAAGTTGGCTTCTGTATATTCATAGCTCAAATCACTAATGGGTTTAAGATTAGTTATTGGGAGTTGTGATAAGCAGAGTTGATTATTAATGTTTGTGTTCCAAAGCATTTTAACCATTTCAATTATTTTTCTCGAGAGGTTAAAATTATTTTCTTTAAAAGACTAACATCAAAAATCTATCTCTATTGTAAATTCAAGCAGAATAATTGTCTTGTATTGCTTAATCGCAACCAACCTTTGGTTTATTCCGGCAATAACACAGTGCGAACATATACGTTTCTTAAAAACTAGGTTTTTTTTCTTGTCGTATTTTCATTTGTCCTGTCTGCTGAGAAAGGCTCTGATCCTAAAGGTTCTCCTCTTACTGTCCTGTCTTTCTACTTCAAGCTTCCACATACCTTGCTCTACGATTTCCTTCACACAATTCGAACACAGTCCTTTATTTATAATAATGATTTACTTGTATAATTATATAAATTATAGCATCTCTTTACTGGAATGCTAATGTTGTTTCTAGTTGACTGATGATAAAACTACACACATTATCTTAATGTTTCATCGTCCACTGGTGGTCTCGTACTGTTTTCAGAAATGTGACCGGGGTGTTAAACATGATTACAATTTCGTTTTTGAATAACAAAAAAATATCGGAGTACACAAGAATCGTAATTTTACAGTAAGCTCGCATTTTAATTACGAACATATTTTACCACAAATACATTAATACAATTTCATCAAGTTAAACTACAAATAATATCATGTAGCCACACTGACATGACAATATAATATCATGCTGGTGACTAAGGTCATGGTCTATCAAGTTGATCAGTGTCGTATTGTCATTAAGTAGGATTATCCCCTCCTGATTTTAAGACTTTGTCATTTTTGTCAGGACGGACTTTTTCAAGTTGAGTTGACCGACAGCATGGAATGCAACTGAAATAAAACAAATATAATCGATATGTTGCATATGCCCTAGACGTAAAAAAAAAAAGATATTCCATGAAATAGTTTTTGTCAAACCATCTATGACCACTTGTAAATGTAACTGAACCACTTCACCACAGCAATATTGACGTATCTACCAACTAGCCAAACTATGGCTGGGAGATCTACTGAGTCTCTTCATCACAGCCATATTATTTGAAAGATCTACCTGCTAGCTAAATTATGGCAGTGAGATCGGCTAGCTAAATATATTCAAAAAGGTATGACTAAATTCAAAACTGAATTTCATCGTCCATTACACCTGCCTGTGGCAGACGACTGATGTTTATCATTCTGGACGTAAACTATATGAATGTAGTTACTCCAATATTATCATTAAAAGTAAACTATAAGAATGTCGTTGGTCAAATAATTACAACTAAACCATTAGAATTTAGTATCCAATTATTACAAGTAAACTATAAGAATGTAGTTCATCCAATTATTGGACGTTTACGATACGAATACAGTTAATCAATTATTGGAAGGTAACTATACAAATGTAGTTAATCCATTTGTTAGACGTAAACTATAAGATTAATCCAAGCAGTCACTTTTTTCAATGGGATCTAAAACTTAACCTTACTTTGAGAATGACCATCGATTTAAGAACGGCTGAATGAGTGGCAGGTCATACACGGAGAGATCACCTTCAGCTCCTTCCGCAATTTCGTTCCAGTGAAGCAATCCTCGCTCCTCTCGTGTTCCTAGACATAAAATTTGAGAATGGCTTATAAATGATTCAATCATCAAAACTAATTTTTTTTTTAAAGCTGGTATTGGAATATTAATTATTATTTTACATTGTCCTAAGAAATTCGACCAAAAAATATTTAAAAATATATTTATTAATTAAAAATTAAAAAGCATACAATGTTAGTGTGTGAAAAATTTTTTTAGATTTGATACTTGTGTAAGTAAGAAGTGTTGTTCCCAGTAAGAAGTATGGTTTCAAGTAAAAAGAATGGTTAAAAAAGAAGTATGGTTTCAATTAAGAAGTATGGCTCCAAGTAAGATGTCTGGCTCATTGTTAGAAGTATATTTCCATGTAAGAAGTATGTCTCAGTAAGAAGTATGGTTCCAAGTAAGAAGTATGGTTCCAATTAAGAAATATGGTTCCAAGTAAGAAGTATGGTTCTAAGTAAGAAGTATGGTTCCAAGTAAGATGTCTGGCTCATTGTTAGAAGTATGTTTCCATGTAAGAAGTATGTCTCAGTAAGAAGTATGGTTCCAAGTAAGAAGTATGGTTCCAATTAAGAAGTATGGTTCCAAGTAAAAAATATGGTTCTAAGTAAGAAGTATGGTTCTAAGTAAGATGTCTGGCTCATTGTTAGAAGTATGTTTCCATGTAAGAAGTATGTCTCAGTAAGAAGTATGGTTCCAAGTAAGAAGTATGGTTCCAAGTAAGAAGTATGGTTGCAAGTAAAAAGTATGGTTCTAAGTAAGAAGTATAGTTCCAAGTATGAAGTATGGTTCCAAGTAAGAAGTATGGTTCCAAGTAAGAAGTATGGTTAAAGTAAGCAAAGTAAGAAGTATGTTTCAGTAAGAAGTACGGTTTTAAGTAAAGATATCGGTATTAAAGCAAGAAGTATGGTTCGTCTTTGATTAGCTTGAAAAAATAATCATAAAAGCAATTCGGGTAGGCCTATACGCTTTTATCAGTTAAACAGACATACATGAATTGCTATTTAATTTTACAGAATCTATCATCTATTATATGACCTATTATTTGAACTATTCTTACTAAAGTAATTTTTTTTAACTATCCCTGAAAAAATTTAAAGAATTATTTTAGCTGTAAGAGAAATAGTTGACAATTGATAACCATTGTCTATCATGGTGGAAATGTCAACAATATTCTAACATTTTTTAGACCATAAATCGTGGTATTACATAGAAACTGTGTTTCTTTCAGACTATTTCCTTTGGGGGTAGGGGCGGAATCATTTCAGAATTTACCGTGGGCAGTGCCAGTGGCCAAAGGCGCAGCAACGCGGGGACTTAGGTGACGGAACTCCCCGGGCGCCAGACTAGCTGGGCGCCAAAATAGGCTTTGATTGTATTTAAAGGATTAAAATTTTGTGTTTCGGAATTGAGAGGGGGCGTCAAACGAATCATGCTCCCTTGCACCAAAAACTCTAATTACGTCTCTGCCAGTGGCGGAGAAAGTGGTACGCCCATATGTCATTTTTTTTTTCATTTTTCGATTAACTTCAGATTTTTATCGTCAAAGGGAGTGCGTCAAAAAACTTTGCCGCCCATGGTGGCGCTAATAATAGTTACGCCCCAGTCAAGCGGTGCATCTGTCGGCACCAACATTGAAGAGCATTTTAATCAGAAAGTAGGGCAGAAATCGAGGACGCCGATGGATCTTGAGCGGGTGAAGGGTCTAAAAAGTTGGATGCCGTTTCATCTCAGAGTCATCGTGTGGACCCCACGTATGAAACGGGAATGAAAAAAAAAAAAAAGGAATCAATACCTAACGTAAAAATAATTAATTGTTAAAAGTAGTTCCACGTTTTAACTGAATCAAAAATAATTTTAAAACTGTTAATATGAAAGGTCTGTATATTTTAATGGGTTTTAAAACAGGTCATTTTTATAAATCGCATATAAAGGGCATACTTATGTTAAAAAGACATGAGATGTTCATCAAAGACATCATATATGTATGAATGCGTGATTTTATTTGAGGGAAATTACATAAAATAAATTTAAAATTTCCTAATACTCAGTTGATTGAAATGTTTATTTGAAATTTCCAAATACCATAGCTCTCTTCAGATAAATTATAAATTGCTTCTTCGATATTAGTTAATACTTTTTTTAAAAAAATCCACAGAAATTATTTTTTTAAATTGACTATTTGGTAAGAATAATATTGTACATATTCTTCTCGGGGTGTTGGGGGCACTGGATTTTTTTTTTTTTTGGGGGGGGGGGGGGTTTTTGTGTCCTTTCCCCCTCTTCCTTTTCTCTCCCCCCCCCCCCCCCCCCCCCCCCGAACAAGAAAGATTTCTAAAACATTCATAGTGAGCTCACGAATTAAATACCTGCACCATGTCCCACTGACTCGACCAAGGTCATGGGGCAGGGGTTGCCTTCCACTACTCAGGGTGGGATAGACGCCCCTGGGTGTACTATAGCGTGATGTAACGGGCCTTTTCTTCATAGCAGCACGCCCCACAGAGATGACGGGATAGATGTTTATTGTGCTGTCGATACCCTGATTCCTGTTGCTCACGCGCTAGAGGCTCATCAAGACTCACCTGGTATTGTGTTGTCCATTACAAAACTTAGCACGCCCCCGACGAACATGCTTGTTCCTGTGAGCACCGTCAGGATCTGGTCTGCTAACTCATTACCTGGACGGAAAGAAGTTTGTTTCGCATCTGTACCAAGTGGCGTCACTAAGGGGTGCGGGGGGTTTGGGCCATACCCGGGGAAACCCTCACGGGTGACACCCCATAGACTATGCAAATTTTACGGAGTTTGCACCTTAACACCCCATAACACCCCGTAACAGAACTCAGTTAAATATCAAAACTGTGTACCAACAGAATAGGGTGTACAAGACAGAGAAGTTTAACTCAGGGTAGGTTCCAAACACAACAGAGTTCCTCATGGATAGGATTGCCAGAGCCGGGTTTTACTAGAACATGGTGCCACCAGGGCACAGTGTCACTCAAGCGTGGCTCACCGGATCACTTGA